GGTTCTCCATCTACGTGACTCATAATGGGTGACAGGAATGCAAGGTCGACGAAAATGTGTTATTCATTTATACAGCTGCCACAGCTCCCGACGGAGCGAGCCGATCGCGTCCGGTGACCCGATACAGGCCCTCCGGCTCATGGCGTGCCGCCGTGCATGATCCGCTGGTGTCCTAATTGGATTTGTGGCCAATCTAAAGGTCATATCATAAATTCATTATCTTTCTGAACAGCAATAAGGTGGTCTTCAATTACATATGGGTGTAAAGAAAATTGATATGCCGTGTGTTTCGGAAAATGTGGTCAAATATTAAGCTAGACCACTTTATGCAAGTCGTTGACCTTTAACACTGTATTCACCCATGTTAAGTGGAATACAGGTATCTAGCTTTCTGATCTAGTTTTCCAAAACACTATACCCGCAAACTGCTTTCGCCGGAATACGTTAGGACTCACTCCCTTTAAAGGGAGATTATGCAGGCAAATTGGGACTTTTTGTGCACATAGCATTGAAATATATTTTTATTTACATCGATTGGTATCCTTTGTTCCTAATAATTCACTTCTATTGACCACATGTTTCAAGTGCCCCAGATTTTTGCTGGCAGCACAAAGTTATCCGGTGACCTCAAAACGTTTCACTTCTAATTCACCGCTCATGTCGCGAAAGTCTAGTTGGCGTCAGTAAATGGTCTTCCAAAAACGGAGCTCGTCAGCACTGACAGCAAATTTCAAACACTCCGACCGCGGCCATTGTGCAAACGCGTATTTGTATACAGTTTTAAGGAAGGATTGAGAAGAGGTGTTAGAGCCACGGATGGAGTAATTGTTCCGACGGTCGTGCTCGTTTGATGTGTTAATTTGTTTAATCGAATGGGCCAGACGGGGATGATGATCAGAACAATTATTCCATCCAGAACGCATCTGCTTACACCCAGTCTGAAGTGCGCACTGCGCTCCTTCGGTAGCTGATCTTGGGGAATTGTCCCAAAATGCATCATGTTTTTCGGAATAGCATTTGACGCTGGGAACACGGAAAACTGTAGCAAAAAATTTTCCTGGCCGAGCGTAAATATCGGATAATTTTCAGAGCTTGGTGAAGATTTGGAACCTTTTCTTCACCATTCCTAGGACCATTTACTCTGCATGACGACCCGCGAGAAAAGTAGTGGATAACTTCAGGACCTGCCGAACGTGATTAGATAAATATCGGTTGATTACTATTGGAGGGATAATTACTCGTTACGTAGTTTTATCGCAGTCAGCTGTAGCCCTAACCAGATTCGTTATGGCTTTGGGGGTCGTACTAGTGGGCTGAATTTACTTCTTTCCTTTTCAAGTGATGTACTTTTTGCTAAAAACGTATACACAGTTTTCGAAGATTTTGCTGCAGATGACTGTACTTTAAAAAATGTTTTACTTATCATGTATGTGAAACAATTTTTACATTGTCTACGTGTGACTCCTGTAGCAATGTCTGCCTTATTTGCAAGTTACGTTTAAGGTAGGCAGCCATTACTGGTCATGAGTAAGGAACTTAATGCAGGCATTAGTTTGGCCCATTTGGTCCATGATAGCATGGCTGGTATAGATGATTACTATTACTTGTAGAAAGAATGGTAAGGCAACCTGATATATTTCCTATTGCCTTCGCTTACCTGCCTGGGCACTATCGCCGTAATATATACACAATTGTCGATGCTCAGGGCACCCTCGATTGATCTCAAGCGGCATCTGTATCAGCAGACTTTGTCATGCTAATGGATTGCATTTTTGAGAATGTGAGTGCGACAAACTTGAAAGCCATATGAAAACTTCGAGCTCAATGAAATTAAATTCATAGCGCAGCCCTTTTCCATATTATTTCCATGTCTTTCAGACAAGATGAATCATGCAAGAATGCTAAGTGGAATATACGCATACTAAGACAGTTAAGGCAAAACGCTTTGACGCCGGTGATCGCATGGGCACTTACTATTGCAGTTGATGCTGGGCTACTTACCTATTACTCAACGTTTCCACAGCATTTTCTTGCCTTCATTTTTAAACCGTTTCTGTAATAGTGTTCGCATAGGGTCGTCATGTGCAGTATATTACAAGACATTACATCATCCGTAGTTATCAATGCTGGAGCCTCCAGTTTCCTAAAGAATTGCGTTCATTTGCACTAAGGTGAAATGTTTGTTCGCACGTGTCAATGTGGTGGTGGCCACACCCCATCTGATATGTTTTCCAGTGTCATGCCTGATGTTCTTATCTATTTTTGCTGAAATATAATGATCATGTGTTGAATGTTGATGTTTCAAGCCTGTAGTATTACTTATGCTGCATTTTATGATAAGTTTTGCACTCGTAGCTCTTCACCTATAGCGTTAATGAAAGGTAGCAAGAAACTGATCATAAGATTAGTCATTATTTCAAACGTGTGCGTCCAGAAAGCATTATAATTCTTGCTGACCTCTGCACCATGCCTACAACTTCAATGAATATTGTTTGATGCCGGTTGTGGCCAATGGCTGGACAAGTTGCAAGGTGCATGGGCTGGTGGTCCTACATCCAATAATGGTTGAATAAGACAACGTTCTGTTTATGTCAAACAAGGCCTAATTTTTGTATTGAATGAAAATAAGGATGCACCTTAGCCACTTTAAAAGTTTTGCAGTTATGTAACATGTATGCATTTTTCCGTATGTTTTGAGGACCAATCCTCAACTCTTTAATCTAATTTACAAAACATAAGGCAAGTCACATAAGTCAGACATATGGGAGCATGGCCTTAGAACGTTCGCAAGGTGACATGCATTTAAATTCACTGCTTGTCATTCACTGCCAGTCTTAGTCATTATTCCATAATGTAGAGGGTTCACAAACTGGATATGAGTTACGTGCAAGGAAAGACGGTTTTATTAGTGTATGCGAATTCAAGTTGAAACCAAGGCACATCTAAGTATAATGCACAGCACTCATTTGAAACAATAACATTTCAAACCCATACAAAACCCCTGCCATACTACAGACTCGTGAAAGCAGTCTGCTAACTTCAAAGGATGAAAACATTTGACAAATGGAATGATGATCGAAGGCAGATTGAGTTAAAGACGGTGCATTTTACATATGACAGCAATTAAGCAGTTTGCAAGAAATGATTTGCATATCGAAGGCATGCTGTAAGTTTTTTGATCAATATTCATTGTCGGTGGAAGCAAATCTTTGATGTTGTAGATACTCATAAAATCAGTATTACATGTTCATAAAGTGTCATATAGCAGTGGTATAGGCATTCAGCTTAAAGTGGCGGCACATATATGCGTGTAGTGGTTTGGAAACGATGCCACCTTGTCATGCTTTGAAGCTTAACACCCTAAGTGTAACTTTTAAATAATTTCATTGTCTCTGCTGCGCATTCTTAACTTATTTACCTGCAGACATGTATAAAAACGTACATAAATAAGCATTGGTATTTCTTTATCCAACACGTCTGATTATTAAACAAGTGCCATATCCCTTTACGATTTTAATGCCATCAGCCTCTCTCTGGTGCACCTCATATTCTCACGAAGGTTTATCCCACAATTGTCCATTGACGGATGACACTCTTTCAAGATTTCTGTACTGATCGAATTCCAGCGTACTTCCGAGTTTTCAATCACGGAGCTCAAGGCATTTCTCGCTCATAATGAGAGCACATTTTACGAAGTCACATCTCTTCTCAAATAAGGGTAGCGCGTGTCGTTATTTTACCCATCACTGTGATGTAATGTAATTTTATTTGCCGGCGGTTAGGTAAAAAAAGCTTACACCAAAGCAACGGCCTTTGGTTAGCAGGCTATTGAAGCATGATTTTCGCGTGGGTTCAGTTTGTGCCGGACGCATCATTAATTGTTACACTTACTTGCCGTTTCCATCCCGTTCATTGGTGCGATTCTTTGCCTGAAAGAGCTGTGTTCGCACTCGTAAAGCGTACACAGCCATCGACACCTCGGGTGAGAGAAATAATTTTATAGAATGATCACTGTTAAAAGCCTGAAATGGCCTTTTCATCGCTGCCGATATCAATGGCTCGGTTCAGATAGCTGCAGGGGCGTCTTTTTGACGAAAATCCTAAGACTAGACACATTCCCTTGGAGTAAAATGACTGACGGCACACGTGCGTCTGTGGTAGGTCGCCAGCGCCAAATCGTTTCACAGCCGGCGGGCCACGGCGGCCACCAAACACATCACCTGGCTATTTCGCTTGTTATCCCGGACCGATATCCAGGCAACCACGGGTAAAACGGCTTGGGAGTAGCACGCTCCGATAGGGAATCGCATGTCATTAAATCTTAAGCCGCACGTGCCACGTGTCACACGCCCGCGAGATGGCAAGATCCCTTTGGCTGTGTTTGTTTTTGCCCGTGTCGCGCTACATCTTGGCACCAAGAGCAGATAGAATCCAACTTGAGAGCGTCCGCTAATGTACGATCAGCGACTTCAGCTCACATCACCACTTTGTACGACGCAGGCTCCGCTGGAAATCGCCGCGAAAGTAAGGAATATCGGCATTTCGGAAAACGCCGGCGCCCATAACACGGGCGAATAAAATTTTCGACAGATCGGCGCCCAGCCGACTGGGTGCGCCATCCTGGAAATATAAGTCGTCAACGACGGGCCACAGGAACTCGGAAGTAGCTCAGTTCGATAGATAATTCAACTGGCAATCGCGTGATGTAACGTGTTGCATCCCACGTGCCACGGATGAGCACTCGCGAGCTAGGAATATAAATTTTACCTTTTTCGGCTGTTTTCACGTTTTCCGCCATACCTCGACACCCAGGGCACAGAGCGACTCGAGATTGTGATGCTTCGGTTAGGGAACCCAACAGCGAACCACATGATGTCTTGTGCATGGTCTCAAGGGTCACGTGACACGCTGACAAGATCTGGAACGATGGATTTTGATATTTCCAACGGTGTGTGTGGGGAAAAGAAAGCAGTTTGTAAAAAGTGTTTTATTAGCAAAACGTTTTGACTTACAAATCGTATAACAAAACGGACGTTTAGCTTCCATCAGATCCACGAACAGAAACAAATGGCACCGCTGCGTTCTGTTCCATACGTCATATGAACAAGAGTACCACAGCACACACGCTCATTTTGTGCGAGTTACACGCGGCCGTTAGTGTGACGACAGGCGTTGGTCCAGCGACGGACGGAAGTGACAGATAGAAGTCGCCTGCGGCCCAAGCCTGCAGTAAATGCCTGCTGATTGGCTTCGTAGGCTCACGCTCGCTTGCTGACTAGTTCCCGCTCGATGGTCAGCTCCTGCCAAATGCAACAGCTCAAGAATGCTGCCACTTACAAGAACAACACTGATCGGTGCTGGGCATCTGTAAGACATCTATTGCTCTGGTGCTGAGGTCATAAATAGCCGGTGGTGCCCGTCAAAAGCCAACTGTGATAAGGCAAGCCATATGTAATTTGATATTACAGAGCCCCAGGCTAAACAGGTCGATCCAGGCTGCACCAGCTGGTGCTCACGCCGCTGTGGTGAGCGTGACCCCACATCGGACCCTGGCTCCGGCCTCACGGTCGCTGCCGCTGCTGGGCGCCGCCAGCTGGTCAGCGGAACCGGCACCCGGCCGGCACTCGCCTTGATCAGGCTGGCGACGGAGGGCGTGTGTTTGCTCTCGGAGCGGATCTGCGAGACGCGCACGCTCAGCTGGCCCAGCTCCTGGACGCTCCAGCCGCGCGTCAGCTGCACCAGCTGGTCAATGCTGCGCTCCGACAGACCCCGACCTGCGGCAGGCACCGCCCGGCCCCGTCAACGACGACAGACCCCGACCTGCGGCAGGCACCGGCCTACCCCGTCAGCGACGACAGACCCCGACCTGCAGCAGGCCCCCGGCCAACCCCGTCAGCGGCCACTCCCAGCAACAGACCCCGACCTGCGGCAGGCACCGCCCGGCCCCGTCAGCGGCCGCTCCCAGCAACAGACCCCGACCCGCGGCAGGCACCGGCCTTCCCCGTCAGCGGCGACAGACCCCGACCTGCGGCAGGCACCGTCCGGCCCCGTCACGACCTGCTGCAGGCACCAGCATCGAACAAAACCGCATGTTATTGCGCTTCAAACTCCATTATGATGCCAACAAAAATAAGGTTCAAGGTCAGGTCAGGTCAGGGTGATGTCGTATCCGTGGAACTCATTACCATACTCCTCCATTTCACACGTGTAAGCCATCGGTCTGGAAATCTGCAAAGTCCTCTTTATTATAAACGGTCATAACTAATCACTGGGTGAACACCTGCGAGGTGACTTCGCTAACTACTGCCGGTGCCATGAATGACCTCAAGTGATTTAATCACCCTGACTGGCGTACAGTCAGGTCGGTCGATGAATTACGTGAGATCAACTGAAATAAGACAAAAGATCAAAAGAAATAATCAAATCATAAAAATAAAGATCAAATAAAATAAAGATCAAAAGAAATAATATATATATATATATATATATATATATATATCAAGAACTCATCTTTTGAGCATGAGTACAGCACAGCAGGTGGGCTTAAGTATCTCAGAGATGTTTCTTCAATAGACGTCTCACAGATTTCGAACATGTGATATAGTGATTTCTGATCTTGTTTTCGTTCAATGACGGATTAGTTGCTGGATACAAACCAACCACTAAGTGGTCACGGCACCTCCCTGTCAAAATCAATAACGCACGTGCACAAAAATGGTGGTGCTTGAAGGCTGCACCAGGAGGCTACAGGAAGGCAACAATCTTGAGTAGCTGTTGTGTTCTTCCCGGAATTAACAGCCATTGGGGCTAAAAACGATATTTCAATGAATGATACGATGACAATACTCCTGGACTGTTGAAATTTGATTATCTCGATCTTCTATCCGTAATCGAACAATACTGTGCAGACAGGGTTGGATCCAGAGAGGATAAGGGGCGTGGGGCATGCTATTCATCACCTTGGGCCATTTGTAAGATTTTAGCGCCCCTTGATAGCACAAAAACCCCACGGTAAAGGGATATCAAAGTCTTCGTTTTGGTACATACGATATTTATTTTCTAGAGGCGCGAGTTTCAAGCACGCCACTCAAAGTGTTCCAAAGCAGTAATTTTTAAGGGATGCCACGTTTTTCAGCTTTACGCCCCGACCAAATCCTGTACCGGCTCTTCGGCGAACAGGCATAAAAAGCTTTATTGCTGAGCACCACAACACTTATTTTAAGTTTCACCAGGGTGCGCCACAAAAGGCCCCAAATCGTTCAATTTCAACCGGCAACAAATTGCGGGCGGCACCGTTGTGCTCGCACCTGCCCACTGACACATTTCGGGATCGGTCCATTCGGCGATGGCTCACCAAACCATTCATCTTAGGGCACCTTATTCTTTGTTTTCAATATGCACTTAATCCAAACGGGCCATTCAAACCAACCCCATTTTTATTTCCAACCGACACCAAAATCAGGAGCAGTACAATGTCTGTGCCTTCCCCTTTGGCGATTTCCTGGGACGGCTCCTTCGGAGGCGCTATATATATATATATATATATATATATATATATATATATATATATATATATATACATATATGCATACTTATATACATCGGGCATCATATCGGGGAGAGATGCCCTAAGCCTTCGTTTTGGGTATCATGGCCTGTGTTTTCAGGAGACTGGCAATTCTACAGAGGCAGCACAAAGGGCTGTAAAACTCTCAATTTCAAATAGCGTCAAATTCCAGGATATCAAAAATTGCCCAAAAATCTTTAATTTTGCAAGGAACCAAGCGGGTCACTATTTGTAAAACAGAGGCGCATGCCTGACCCTAGGTCCTTAGGTCCTGCGGGGGCGGCGGTCAAGAGTCCGAGCGGAGGGTCCGAAGGACAGGCCGGGAGGTATATGAAGGGATCCCAGTCAGAGGCCGGACTGTCAAAAATCAGTCGGAGGGCCTCTTTCACCAATCGAAGGCCCTGGGACAGTGAGGGCCTTACGCTGCTCTGCTGACCGAGACCACCAAAACTGAACAGTCGTCTTCGCGCCAGTCTGGGCCCTGGGGCCTCTTAGCCAAGTATGTGTTTTCTGGTGCTCATTTAGAATTTATTCATAACAGGAATCGTATTACACATCTTCCATGGACTTCTTAGAGGTCAGAATAGGTCATTCACCTGAAATGACCCAGGTCGCCATTTTTTTAGGGACATACTGTCTGGCGTAATCCTTGTCGCTTATTCAAATGCAAAACCCAGAGCAATCTTGCATAATTTTTGTCACCATGACCTTCAAGAGGTCAAAAAAGGTCACTGGCCTTAACTGAGCATGTGATATTTTGCTTAGAAACAGTTATCTAGGTTATGCGGGCACTTTGGAGGCCAGCCTGGGATTTGACTTTGTTTGACCTTATTTGACCTGAAGATCATGACCTAGGGACCTGAAACTTTGACCTAAGTGGGCTCACGTACAGGTTCAAACACCCTGTAAATTTGGTGTTTCTAGCTTTCTTAGTGTGTAAGGTCTCAGGGCATCAAATTAACCCCCCAACCCGGGCGAAGGGTACCTGGCCGGCCACCCGGGCGCGCGTTAATGGTGCTGTTCAGTACAGTTCGATACAGTTTATAGATGGTACAACGGGCTATCCTCTGAGGCCAGTTATGCGTCGTTATGTTGCCGCCTGCTTAGTTGGAAAACTGCAATCATGCACGGCGCTGACGACAAAGGAAGCCGGCTTTAGCCGAGTGTGCTGCAACGATGGCCTCAGCGACTGGCCCTTAATGATGCACATGACACTGAAACAAGTCATGTATCTAGACATTTATCATACTTAGTGTTGGCTTTTAACATTAAGGTAATAACCTTTTGTCATGCACTCCATATTTATTCTCATTACAAGAAGTACGTGTTTTACATTCTGCAAGCTTACGTAAGCTGTTCAGTGCATTAACGAGGAGCATTGCTCACATAGATAAGACAGTAGTATTAGCCTTATTCCTCGGAGAAAAGCCACGAGAATCCATATCTCCATTTTCCTGATTTTTATCTGAAGAATACGGCTAATACTCCTGTCTTATCTATTCTGAAAGTTCATTTGGCGTGTTTGTGTGCGAATCCTTTGATGGATTGAATGGATGCAATAATTGTTCGGACTGACGTCCGCGTCTGGTGAGTTGGCATGTACACAACGTTTTATACAATGGGCCTTCTCTTGTGTGAAACTTTTCTCGTCTTGAAATTGTCTTGTCTAAAGGCAGGACATGTCCTTCCCGGGCAGCTCGAGCACGATAGTCCGAACAACTATTCCATCCGTGATACTAATCACTCCTTTTCATCCTTCCGTGAAACTGTGCAAATCCTTCCATGGGAGCTCCGTGTCGCTACGGCTCAAGCTTTTCGCAACAGATGTGTTCCATGGCATTTGAATATATCATAGTGCTTCAGGAAAATTGCCCCCAATCGAACATCTAATATGCATATGTACTTAAGCGTATACGAGATGTGCCCATGCGCAAATACATATACATATATATATATATATATATATATATAAATATATATATGTGTGTGTGTGTGTGTGTGTGTGTGTGTGTGTGTGTGTGTGTGTGTGTGTGTGTTTTCCTGTTGCCAAATAGTTATGGAATCGTGTCGAAGACTGCAGAGTAATAAGTTTGGAAAAGCTTGAACTTGGCGACACCACGGCCAGCTGGACCACTCAGGTTTGAGTCTTCCCCAAAGTTCAAGTAGCACTCGTTCGGAGTTGTCACGCGTGTATACGTAGTGGTAGTGGTGGTGGTGATATATCTAGTGTTTTCACGTGGTGCGTGCATACGTGCCAGTGAATACGGCTAGCGCATTATTGAAGAAACCATCGCAAGCCAGTGCCAATGTTTACCTGATTCCGGCGCGTGCGTCTGTCTGTCTGCCTGCCTGTCCGTATTACGTGACACAGAGCGCAGGCGACTGCGCGGGTTGCCGAGATATTCGCGAGTGCGACGGGGTTAACCCTCGTGACGATTTGCCACATCAATTACCGCTGTCCGATACCAGTTCCGCTCAGAGCGTGTGTGAGAGCGTTGGCAGGCTTTGACGTTTAGCAGAGGGGATTTTTCCTGAATGCAGGAGGAACAAGCTGCGCAAAGATTGAGCCGTCGAAAACATACCGCAAAGCTCGAGCAACAATGAGCATAGCGTTCACACACGCAAGGGACTGCCCAGTGACGCAGGCACTGCGATCTTAAAAACGAATTAAAAAACGAAGACATGCTGTACGTCACTGAGATGTAAGCCACCGCTATGTGGCCGGAGACTGCACTACACCGAGGTCAAACACACCGGCTCTTCGCGCAGCAAAGCAAGCATAAAGCACAACTATATGATATTTATTGGATTGGATATTTAACGGAATACACGGCTCAGACCGCATGTCAACATCCTGTCACTGGTATACCGCAGACTCATGCCACTGGGATACCGCAGACTTATGCCACTGGAATACCGCAGACTCATGTCACTGGGATACCGCAGACTCATACCACTGGGATACCGCAGACTCATGTCACTGGGATACCGCAGACTCATGCCACTGGGATACCGCAGACTCATGTCACTGGGATACCGCAGACTCATGTCACTGGGATGCCGCAGACTCATGTCACTGGGATACCGCAGACTCATGCCACTGGGATACCGCAGACTCATGCCACTGGGATACCGCAGACTCATGTCACTGGGATGCCGCAGACTCATGTCACTGGGATACCGCAGACTCATGCCACTGGGATACCG